TTGTTGTTAAGATACGGTTGTTAGAAACGAATTGGAAATTACCTGTTAAGATAAAAGATGTTAGATAAGAAAAATATGTATATATATAGAGTGTTAAGTGTTAGTTATGATGTTTTCTTTATCGAATTATTAAAGTATTATTGTCACCTTTTAGTAAAATCTAAGTAAAGTCTCGAATAGAGCAATGCCTTTCGAGACCCTAGACCAAGGCCCTTACACTAGCTGTCTGTTTCACATACTCTTTTTTGTTGTCTTAATATTTTTCATCTTGTGTTTGACTTGTTCATCACATAAACACTTTATTGTTTTCATTCTAAAAACCGCAACAACCAAAGATCCACCACGACACCCGTCTGGCAGATAGTAACCTACTTCAGGGGAAGACAGCGACCTAGCTATTGTTTTAAGGTATTTAGAGAATAACTGTTTGAAAATACATAAAAATATTAATGTGTCAATAGTTATAGAGTGAGTAGGAATCTCCTATCAATCCTGACCTGATTGAATCATAGAGTTATAATGTGCGTTGATCTTGTTTAGGTATTGATTGTGCTCTCCTGTGTCTATCTTATTTTCCGTCTTGGCTAACTTTCTTATTCAGTTGTTTTGTTTTATATTTCGTGAATCGTTTGCTGCCGTAAAGACATAGAGATCTTCATTTGTTTCATAGAAGGGGCTTTATTTTCCTCAAAAGCAGTAGGATTTGGTATGATCATGAGTTTTTATCAATCACGCCATTTTAAAGACAAATATTTGAGGTTTTGATGGAGTCACTTGGTCAAATTGAAGCGATTGTCGCATTTATATGCCTGGAGAACTTGACACGATTGGAGGGTTCATCTTATCAAAATGCATGAGATATGCCGTCGATCACTGCCACATCAATAATATAGATAGTGCACTTGTTCCCTGATGGATATCACTCAATCCAGTATCTCCATGCGAACCTCTTGGCTTTCCTTCATAATTGTCTTGAGGTTGACAAAGATAGGAATTTCTTCAAGAGAGAAGCTTAGCCCCAGGAAAGTTTCCCCGCTACACAGGTTCGACCAGAACTGAAATTGAATGAGTCCCTCAGTTTTTTAGCTTCTGTCTCATGGTGTCTTTTGAGCCAAATACCAAAGAAGTAATGCATGATCGACAGAGTTCCCGGAGAAGTGCATATACTTCATTTAGAGGGTGAAATGAGTGAACTGTCTACATAGATAGCTTCTGGCACCGCATCTGGAATACAGTCTATTTGCTTTCAAGTGAGAGATATTAATTGATGGTCATGTCTGTTTTTGTTTGGCAAGCAAATGAGCTACCTGATTGCAGCATTTAACCTAGCACTCAAACTTCAGGCCAGGACCAAATGTATGTTTGCATGTGTGACTTACTCCAAAAGATAGTCTTGATCTATAAACCTGTGATGTTGAATGTTCCTAGCCTGATAAAGGAAGCACCTTATGTTGGCACTGTGCAACTTTGGTGACTCTGAATTCAGATGTAAGTACACCGGCCATATTGACACACAAGATGATCTTTTGGGTCACTCAAACTCTATCAGACTGTTGCTTCATGTATAAGCTTTTGAATAAGTGAAAGTCTATTTTGAACTCTATGAAAATTACCAACACAAACTATGTAACATGTTTCTGACCTTATTTTTTTGACTGCCACACTGAGCCCACACCTAAAATTGCATGACATCCTGAAATCTTTCCTTGATCCATAATTTCTGTATCTCATTGATTGCTCATCTCTTGAGACATGTTATGATCCCAAATGACATGTAATCAGGGACATGAAAGGTTTAGCACAATATGTCACAGATTAAAGATGAGTTAGATTGTATATATGATCCCAAATGACATGTAATCAGGGACATGAAAGTTTTAACACAATATGTCACAGATTAAAGATGAGTTACATTGTATACTCCTGAGTTGTACCATTCCTTTTTCTCTCCCATACAACAATCTATATAATAAGCTAGACTGTTGGCATCTCAGAGCCTCAACCGCAGTCCCAGTCCCTTATTGAGGGCCTTGGTAAGACCTTTTTTAAGAATCTACTATCAAGCATGTAAGTTGTTGGGGGTTAAAAACATTGTTCCTTTGCTTTCAGTAAAAAAGCAAAGGCATAGGTTTGTACTAATAATACTCCTTGAAAACAAGATTGCACTTCACAGAGATTCTTTGCTCAAGCAAGAGTACTTTGAATTAAGCTGGGTGATCAGTATAATCCAAAATCCACTCAATGAGACACCAATGATATTGTATAGCCAGCAAGAATGTCTATGCAAATATATCTGCATATTTCCCAGAACAAATGAGTAGCAACAGTCTTTGAACTCGAGTCTACCCACCTATACCATGGTGCATTCAGAAACCCTCCTGGATTGTGAATAGAAAGATCAGGCTTTATAGCCCAATTAATCAACTTGAAATATTTCACAGAATAGATACCAGGCTGATGCTTTGCAAAGAAAGAGTATCAGGATCACCTATTACATATCTTCACAAAGTTCTTATACAGGACATAGATGATACCCAAAAGAACCAAAAGTTTACACCAGAACTTTTGTAAAGAAAATTCTTTTCCATGAGATTTGGCTGAGACCCAGAGGAGATTGCAGAAATATCTACCACACTTAAAACAAATAAAAAATTCAAAGTCAGATTCAACCTTGAAAGAAAGAAGTACATAGAGAACCAGAAGTTTAAGCCATGATATAATTGTGATGGACAGTCAATATTCCCAGGTTTCATCTGTCTTAAAAAGCTCTTGTGAAATTGTGGTTATGTGCAAAAAAAGCAACAATTAGCTTGCTACTCAGTGGGTATGAAATGGAAGAGAGAATTTGTACAATATGATAGCCATCAAATTAGGTGATAGTATGATAGTCAAAGGAATATGTTGAATGATGATATTCAAGTGGTTCCACTTGAAGACTTTTAATACATCTGAGATATAGTACAAATAGCAGAGTTGATGGTGTATATTGGCACTAACAAGCAAATACTACAGCTAGCAAGCTTCTCAGAAAGTATCTTACATACAGAAGAGGGACAGAAGACATAGTAAGCTACATGACTGCTACATGCCCATCTTAGGAATACTTTAATTAAGCGTATTGGAGCTTACCCTTGACTAGGAAGTCCTAGATCCTAGTGAAGATGTCTAGTATTGATCTTAATCAAAGGATTTGAAATCTTTACACTTTGGTTAATTCAAAGAGGTCCTCTGTTATTGATGTGTTCAGTTAAATGAGCCAGTACTTATTGGTTACTTCTTCAATATAGTGTTTTATCATGGATTATAGATGTCTCATTGGAGATGGTCCTTTCTGAATTTTGTGGTTGTTGTTGGATTATTGAGTGATGGTACACAATGATCATCTAGGATTGTGACTTATACACCTGACCCTCCCTACCTGCCTTTTTTTGCCATGTTGGTGGCTAGGTTCTTTTCATACTCTTTTCAACTTTATAACTCTTGGATGTTGAAAATGAGCCTGACTGGTGTCATATATCTTGATGTTGAAATAAGCCCATCTTGAGCTCTTGGTTGAAGTAGCTGTCCAAAGTCATCAACTTGAGAAATGCTCCCCCAGATTTCAACCGGGCTGAACTTCATGCCTACAGAACTCTAGATAGCTCCTCTAAAGGTTCATTGTGTCAAAACTTGGATTTTGGACCTTTTGGCTCTCAGTATGTAGATTCTCAGGTTGTGACCAACGACACATTTTGGCTCCAATTTGACAGCACACATTGGGAAAAAAACTCAAAATTTTGCCTGATTTGGCTCTAGGCAGACAACCAACATCCAAAACTGCAAGTAGGGTGTTCTCCTTTGCATGAAAACAAAAAAATGTTACAAAAGGTTTAAAAAATCATGCTTGTTTAAAAAATTGAGATGTAATTTCAAATTTCAATCATTATACAATCTCAACATATGCTTTACCAAACAGCAAAATGGTCAACAACAGGTCAATATGATTTTTGTTGATTGTTGGGTTTAGCATATAACTGACTTTCATTTTTTTCAATCTGTGCCTTGAAAAAGGGGAAGATTGAAAAATTGGTTTTGTGTATCACTTTTTGGCTAAAGTTGCTGAAGGGGCTCTTGTTCTTGATAAGAATTGCAACTTTTCAAGGTGTGAAGGGATTCTGCTTGTATACTAACCCTTTATTTATTAGGAGAGAAGCAGAAACAGAAAGTGGGAATGTGCCCTCTTGGGTAAGGCTGTTGAGATTGATTTTTGCCAAGATTGGCCAGTTGACTATGTGGAATTGCTCTGTAGACATCATGCACATAAAATTTTAAAATATAAATCAGGTGGTTTTGGCTCCAAGCGCACAGTGAGCTTGAAAAAAACTCCAAAATTTGGCTTTTGGAGGTTTTTGGACTCCAGGTTTCCCAACAAACATTTTTGACAAAAATAACATTTTGGCTCCAGCAAGGCAATAAATCTTAGTTGGCGCTATCCGGGGTTCAATGCCTACCCTTTTGAAAGCACAGCTTTTTTCCCCTTTGTGTGCTGTCTGGCTGCTCACATCCACAAGCCTGCATTCCTATGTTGAGGGATTGGGAATGACACAATGAACCTACGTGACACACTGGTTGTGTTGACTTTGATACAACAGTCCATTGCTCTGGGAGGTTTTTGTCTAATGGACACAAGGGAGCACCAGGGCAATTACTCATTCTTCACCCCATTTTGACAATATGCTGACGGAGATACGGTAAAATGGCAGAACTAGAAACCTATCATCAGCATGTTCTCAAGAGCAATTGGTGTTTTTACACACTTTGTTGCCGTTGAGATCCTGTTGATGGTGTTTTTTTGGTGTTTCAGAAGTTGAGTGTAGATATTTATACAGTGTGATGATCCACATGTAAAAACATGAATGACTGGTCACTGTGATGGGAAACCATATAGCTAGGGTTACAGAGAGAGAAAGAGAAGAAGTTCTTGATTTAGGTACCCAATTGAGTTCTTCACTTCGCTTTACCTTTCAAGTTTCAACCAATCGCATTCAAAAAAAAATCAATCACAAGATTTTACAATTTATCACTTCATTCACATCTCAACTCACCAAACTTTCTAAAGTTCGTTCAAAATCATTTCAGTCTTTCTTTCTTTCTTTCCTCATACTGATTCATTTCCTTTGATCTGATAAATCGATTTATATCTTTTCATTTCTTTCTTGATTTCTCATCATAAATTCTCCTTGGAAACCGAAAACAGTTTAGAAAAATCCCAACCCTCCAATCAATCCAACATGTCCTCAAACAACGAAATCAACTTTGGGCCCGTCTTCATGAGAGGACGCAAGCCCGTCACTGGGAACAAAGTACCCACAGCTCATCCACCTAATAACGAAACTGCATCCCAATCGCAGGTTCTCAAAAACAGTGGAGGGCCTACGCCAGTAGTGAGACCATCGATACCATCACTTGGTTCCTTTAGTTCTGGCTCCATCAGTCCCGCTCTACCATTATCGAAGTCTTTCTCCGCAGTGGTTTCACCTGAAAAAGAAAACGAGGAACGCGTGGCATTTTTGGGCGCGTCCAACGGATGGGACGTCTCTCATGGACTTCATGATGCTAGCCTTCATTCGACCGACTTCTCAGGAAATGCGATGGCTAACGGTACCGCACCAGTATTTCACGAATATTCAAGAGAAACGTTGTTGAATTTGTACTCTGAGGTCATGGCGCTCAAGCTACCGCCCGATCTCGAAACTAGTGATCCAGCTTTCAGTGATACACTTGTGGGTCCACCGCTAGGTTTGATCGAGATGACAGAAGCTGAAAAAGAGGTAGGTTCAATTTCATTCACGACTAGATAGTCGCATAATCAACGTTTCATAATGTCGATCTCTGTATCAGCTTAGTCGCTGAGATCACAATGTCTATTGTAGCTTTTTTCAGGTCCTTACAATAGTGATAGGCGAGCTCAAGCAAATAAAGCCCAGCATCATAATCACGCCGATAGTCCAACCACGCCAATATCACACCCTGATGGTAATATAGCTGGACTGGCGACCAATAGACTATCTGTCAGTACCGGAGCTAAACTTGGTAAGCATCACAGCCCCATCGAACGTTTCACGAATTTGGGTATCCAAGGCGGCGTGCTTGCCGGGGTCGCCTCACCTACTCATAGCACCAACAGACGTAGAGGCGACAGTGAAAATGATCCTCCAGGTGTGTGAAGTTGATGCCCTCGTTCCATGAAATTTCTGACTGAAGCCTTTGTGTCATCAGAGGGAACACGCAGATTTCCTCGTCCGGATGAACCTGCCCTACAATCTGCCGGTTGGTCAGCTAATCCTCGAGATCGTCGCGCTCGAGATTCTGGGCCGCCAGCTGAAGGCAAGTGGAAGCGAGGTGTCCCACTAGAAGAAAAAATGCATCTCACCGCGGACATTGTCTCGAGTGGTAATCCCAGATACTCTGTTCTTGATAGAATGGTGAGTGTTACCGTAACCCTACTCCGATCGAAGCTTTTGAGCTAAAGTCATATCTACCTAACCAGCGCGAAAAGGCTGCGGCCAGTCTTGATCAAGCTACCAAAGAGTCTACTGTTCAGGGATCTTCTCCCCACGAGGTATCGGATAATGTCGAGCTCTCGAGGCACCTTACCCCCTCCGAAGCGACCAAGGGACTTGATGGCAATTTGGACGACACATCACCTCCCTTGCCCGATACTTTGACCTTGAAGCATGAGTCAAAATCGGTTACCGATGCTTCCGGCGCGGCGGCGTCCTCCAGGGAAACAGATTCAAGTGGAGCTGGTCAAAATCCTCCTGCTGTGTCTTCGCATTCTTTGGAGGCCCCTCCTGAGGACATTGCATGGCAGTACCGCGACCCCTCTGGGACGATTCAAGGCCCATTCACTGCTTTTCAGATGCAAGAATGGTATAAAGCTTCTTTCTTTCGCGACGATTTACTCGTCAAACGTGTGTCCGATATCGCATTCGAAACTCTTGAAACTCTTATTCTTCGGATAGGTGATCGCGACAGACCTTTCCTAGTCCGTCCACCGCCCGTATTGCCCCCTAATCTTCCTTTACCGGGCTCGCACACGCAAAGTTTTCAAGGCATCGCTCAGGCACACTCGTCGCCCATGACCCAGCGATCGTCACTACTGGAGCAACCCTCTTTTCCCACCCGACAGGATACTATATCTGTCTTCGATTCTCCTATTGTGACTCATAATCATGATTCCAACTCCCTCCATCCTTCTTCGGCTCCTGATCCCTGGAATTCAAGCGCACAGTCGATGTCGCCCTTGCACCGTTCTGCGACCTTACCCTCTGCCTCGCCTTTGGTCACTGCGAGCGGATGGCATGTTGGCCTACCCGCTTTATCAGGTCCACCTGCTCAGAGTGCTAACGACTATAATGCAAGTCTACTTGGGAATGGATACGCGCCAAATTCTTTTGGCGACCCGATGCGATTTTTGCAACATGTTCCTCACCCAGCTTTGGTCGGAGGCAATAACGGTTACCCTTTCACCCATCCCATCCCACATCAACCTGCATTTGGACAAATACCGGTTGGACATCACCTATTCAACGGGGCCAATATCGACCCACACGTAGCTTCTCAGTTGCATCCCCATCTTGAATACCAGGCTGCGTCTTATCGAGGCAATACTTCCATGGGTAACAATGCGGACCTGAACGAACCTCCTACCGAGCACGAAAGGAACGAACAGCTGCCATTTACACAGACCCCTGGTTCTCTCGATCCCTGGCACATGCAACCTGACCGAGTGGCGTCTGTTCAAACACAAGTGCCAGATCAAAACTTGGCTCAGCCTACGATGTCTGCATCCGCTGGACACGCTGATCCGACTTCACCCACTCATCGTGATTCTTGGACACATCCTCTGGCTACCATAGAGCCCATTGGGACTCGATCCTCCGGAAAAAATACCCCTATATCAGCTTCACGTGACTTGGTCTCTGTTGCTACACTTCCAAATCAACACAGTACGGGTGCTCTTCATGCCTCTCCTGTAGAAGCACAGAACCCCGTAACTCTGCCAGAGGCGGCTTCCGCTCCCCCGGCGATCTCATCTGGGTCCGTACAATCTCCAGCCTCGCGTCCATCAGATAATAAGAAACAAAGCATCGTTGTCGAAGATAAGCGTGATACGTCGTCTCCTCAGAGCCAACCTCTCGAACAAAGGAGTAGCGTTCAATCACTTGAACAAAGAACTACCTCTCAGGCTGAAGCAGCCTTGGCCTCCGATGAACCATGGCAAAGTGTCTCGCATCAGTCCGCCACCAAATCAAGTCTTCCACCAACAGGGGTCGCGACTCCCGCGATAGCCCCAGCCCCCAAGCAATCTGGTAAGGTCATCGTCATCAGCAGAGCTCAGCAAGATGAGCATGATCGTCGCACAGCAAGCATCCAAAAAACCCAACTACAGTTGAAGGAGGCTCAGGCGGTCGAAAGAGCTGCACGCGAGGCTTCCGAAGCGGCCGCAGCTGCAGCGAGTGCAGCTGTCACTGCTTCAATCAGTGCACCAGCCCCGTGGTCCAAGGAGGATAGCAAAACCCCGACTTCCAACCTATCGTTGATGGAAATCCAAGCCATCGAGTCTAAGCAAGCTGAGAAGCGCAGACAAGCAGAAAAACAGGCTGCGGCCAATCGAGCATTAGCTGAACAGGCCGCGGCTGCTGAACGAGCTGCCAAGGCGATGAAAGAATCGCTCCCACCTACCTCTAATTGGGCAACGGCCTCCTCTCCAACCAAACATCACTCCCAACTAGGTTCTCCTGTAGTATGGGGTGGCAAGGACAATGAAGGCACGATCAACTCAGCTCCCAAACAGACGATGAAGCAGATACAAGAAGAAGAAGCTCGCAGGAAAAAGCTCGCCCAGCAACAATTGGCCACCAAAGCTGCGTCCATTGGCTCGACTCGTTCTTCTGCAGGCTATGCCGGTTCGATTGGAGCGGTAGCAACAAAAGTGGGTTTTTATCGTCTTTCCGCGCCTTCCCTGTGTATTAATGTGATCTCATTGCACTAAACCACAGGCAGCTGCTGTGTCTGGTCCGTGGTCTGTGGTAGGTGCCAAAAGTAAGGTTATTGCACCGCCAGTCAATGGTGCTAGACCAGTTACATCCGTTGTACCTGGTCTACCAAGCACTGGTCGGTTGTCAACCTCGGCTCAACACTCTACCCTATCGAAGACACCCATGTCTAGCACTCGAACAATTGCGAGCATGACGAACAACTCAAACAAAGCAGTCACCACTTCCTCTACCGGCACTTCGACCAGCGCGCCAGAAGGCCCACCACCTGCTTCTGCTGAATTCATGAAATGGCTTCGAGAGGCTCTGAGAGGGATGAACAATGGTGAGATCACTCTGTTTTTCTTTGCGCAAGTCTGGTCTTGTCAAATTTTGATCATTTTACTTTCATTTCTTTTGGTAGTGGACGATTTCATGAAGATGTTATTAGATTTTCCTATCAATCCAGACGAATCTGTCTTAGAGATAGTTTCCGATAGTGTTTATGCAGGTAGTGCTACATTGGACGGACGTCGATTTGCGAAAGAGTTTAATACTCGTCGCCATGCAGATGTGATGGCAAGAATGGGTAATTCGAAACCCACCCCAACTCGTGCTAATAGTAACGTTTCTGCAACAGTTAAGAAAACCTCGACTATGGCTGATGCACTTAAATCTCAACCTGCTCCGAAGAATGATGGATGGGGATTTGCTGTAGTTGGACCTAAGAAGAAGAAGAAATAGAGGATCTGTTGTAGTGTAGTTGGTTGTCATTGAGTGATTTGGGGTTTTGTAATCTGCTTGAATCGATGAGAAAAGAAAAGACGAGATTTCTTAACCAAGGTTAAAATAGGAAATACCATGCTATATATTGTCTCTCGTATCCCCTTGCTATGTATGTGATTTTCAGAGGACACTTTTTGAGTTGATGCACTGATATAAACACAACGCAAGAGATTTTTTTTATTAAGGATGAGAACCAGTGAGCTCCGTACCGAATGGAGGTTCTGATGTACGTAATGAAGAGGATTCCAATCAAAACCTGAGTGTCTGCACCAAGTCCCACTTGATTATTCCAAGGAGTGCGAGTGTCCCCCATCCGGAAAGACGACCGGATTTGTCATGTGTACGGTTTATTTGAAGATACATCTCATCGACCTTTGCGACAAAGATCACTGCGGACGCGAAAATGATGAAAAATTCCACAGATCGCACAGGTCAGTAATAAGTATAGCCAGTACACAGAGTTCATCGCATTCAAAGATTAATGCGTGCTGCATATAGCGTAAGAATGTCAAGTCTGGCTATCCATGATTAGAACATAGCAGCACATTTATCAGTGATACGGTATTGAGTGCTTCTTTGAAGATAGAAAGGGTTGGCGAACTTGAAGATCCTCTAGAAGGGAAAGGTATTCTAGGTGAGTGGCTGCGCGTGAAGTTGTCTTTCTTTGCGTCATAAATGAAACCCAAGTCACAAGAGAGCCACGTGTCGACTTCCCGGCTTTCGAATATATCTGACGCGCTTCTCAAGTCGAATCTGAACATCCTTGAAGCTGGTAGGGAAATTGGTCCAAAAATAGATCCTTCATGGAACGGCGAGGTTTTGATTCATTTATCTTTTACGCAGTAAAATGATTGATCATCTTCGTCACATGGAGAATGTCTTGATCGCTGATAATTACGTATTTTGGTTCATTGGTAGGGTGGTCATGCTTGATCTCAATCGCAGCGCTGCCTTAACCAAGTCCCTCCTCAAGACACAGGCTCTGGGGGACGTCTCTGCGGTTGGTGGGTCTTGTGTTAAGCTAGATCGCAGCGGCGGAAAAGAACATTGTGAAGATCCTTCGTTGGCCATTTTTGTCCGCAGTCTGAAGAAACACGAGAGGATGCAATCAACCAGACAACTTGATGACTATAAAAGAAGTAGACATTAGTGGTCCTGGATATTTCCTCAACCTCCTAGTCAAGTTAACCATTCAAAAAGACTATACTACAACTTCTTCACTTAATCCTACTACTCTTGATTATTTTTTTCTAACTTGATAACTTGATATTTGAGAAAAGATGCCAGGTTTCTTCAATCTTTCTTCGGTCTTGTTTTTCTTGATCACTATGATTGTTTCGATTGCACCTCTCGAGGCTAAGCCTATGACTTCAATGGGCAATTCTCACAAGCAAGCTCGAAATCATTTAGAGACCAGAGCCACGGCCACCACTCTGCACGCTACTGGCCATTATCTTGGAAAAAAACCTACCCAGAGTTGGATCTCCGCGAATCCAGGTTAGTATACTGTTCATATTGACGTTTTGCTAATTGAAGACTAAAACAATTGAATCACTGCAGCTGGGAAATCGAGTAGTGATATCCAAGCTGCTGAATGTGCTTATAATTTGAGGCTCGGTACTCAAGTCTTCGCCTATTTTGAGATCGATTCTACCAAGGCCAAAAACCACGGGGCGCCCTATGGGACTTGTTATGCCACCGCGGTACGCACATTTGTTTTGCTTCAACCCAAATGACGCCGAATTTTTAATCTAGTACTTCGTTCTTGAACCAAATGATGCATTGGGTCATGTGTGCTATTAGGCTGCTCCGACGGCATCAGAGTTAGAAGCAAATGCTGCCTATGATGTATTCTTCTGGAAGTAAGTCATTTGAGATATTTCCCGATTCATCATTTTTCATGGCGTTCATTTTTAACTTGAACTGATTCAATGAACCTCACAGCAATCTGGGGGGTCAGTCCGGGGTAGGAACTGGGCCTATCCGAAATCCGAAAACAGGCGTAGCTGGCTACGAGGATAGACACGGAGTTTACCACGATGGTGAAAACCCAGACAAGTCTCCTTGAAGAGCGTGTTGTTTTTTTCAGGTTTTTTGATCTCAAGACTACCAGAATTGAAGTCGACCTTCCGGGTGGAGGTTGACTTGAATGTTCCATTTTTTTCTTCAAACTTGCGATTTTGCCAGATCACCTAGTGTTTGTGTTTTCTTTGTTGAACTCACGTTACTCAGGGTGTTATCCCAAATATTTTATTTCTTTCCTTCTTTTTGTTTCTTTTTGTGTCGGTACAGCGTGATAGCTAGGTACGAAATCCCAATTTGTGGGCAATTTGTTAAGGGAGGATACAGTCAAGGATAGGGTGTCATCAATGATACAATTCTCGCCAAGATGCCGTATCTGTTCATAGCTCCTGCAGTTTTCAGTAAATAAACAGAGGTTATGTCATTCTGTGATTCGTAGTTGTGTCCATCAATTTGCAGGATCCAGTGGGTTCAACGCTTCAGAAGGGAAAGCCCTGTGAGTTGATGCGAGAAACATGAGAAGCTTCATAATATGAATAGATTAGGACCTTTGTTGTCAATCGCATCAACAAGAATGACAACTGGCAATGAGGCTGGGTAAGCCCAAAGAAGTCAAGGTCTGCTTGGATGAAAAAGACCTTTGACATACTGTCGAAGCAGTTCATCCATTGCCTACTTTGCTGCCAAAAAAAGCTCTGAATCAATTCCGCAGACCACATCAGTTTAATGGAAGATTCACAGCTTGAGCTTCTGAATCTGAGGCATTGTTGTTGATAGGCAATGGCCATGAAAACTAAGACTTGTGTTGTTGTGAAATAATTGAAGAGTTTGGAATGGTTCAAATTCTGAGGTGTAAAGACATGGTTTCAATAATTACAGAAACATGCAAAAACTGATTTGACATACAAAAAATAGGGTTGAGGATTTAGACAAAACTGTGATTGCAATGTTATGGGCGCGCCACAGAAAGCGCGAAAAGGTTGCGCCTGTTAGCGCCTCAAAGCCGCAAAATAGGTAGGGGCACGCCTCATAGTTAGTCCCGGGTTTCTGTCATTCTAGCCAGCCATCTCAATCAGAAATGCCTGGAGATGACTTTGAGCAGTGTACTCCATCAGGATATTGAGGTCAAGCAGTGCTCCTTGCCCCAAGCTTTTGTCACTGAAGAGAGTCTTGTCCAAAAGATGTAAGCAGGTCACTGTAAGATTTCCATGTGTATAAAATCATAGGTGACTTCCTTCAATTGTGGTACACAAATATTGTTCTGACAATTTCCAGAACACTGTTTCCAGAACACCAGTAGTATTTTTTTGGTGTGTTCCGGTGTTCCAGTGATCTGCATCTTTGAATGCCCTGATTCATTTGAGGGGCTGCAGCGGAAAGTTTTTTTTCAGAAGAATATCTCTGTACCATAAATCATGATATTTCTTGCAATCTAACTTGGACTCCATGACCAAGTTCTTCAATCAACTATGTATCCTCAGGCACTCTAATACTGGCCTCTGCTGGTGTAGAAGTCTTTTTGCTTTTTTCTACTTTTGTGTGCCTTAGTGGCACCTGTGCCCCTCCAATGAAGCCTTTTTGCACCTGGGTGTGCCCATTTGAAAAAGCACAAACCCACAACAACTCTATCACCTTTACTTTACTGTTCATAGCAAACTATTGATACATATTGTATCTTTTTCACAGTATCCTAACCACAATACTTAGGGCGCGTTCACTTAAGGAATTTCTGACCAGAAATCACAGTCTGTAAATTTTTTAATGTTTTAATGCAAAAATGAAACACACACCACCAAATGGACACTTTAAATTTTGCAGAATGTGATTTCTCACCAGAAATTGCTTAAGTGCACACAACCTTAGTATTGGTACCAGGAATACTATACTTGCCAGGCCCTGACATGGTATCCTAGGATCTGATACCATATGCAGCACACTACCACACACCCCAATACTATACCAGTCAGGTTTAGGTTTAGTATCCCAGTATCTGTCAGCACTTTCCAAGATTGACACAAAAGCCAACATTGGACATCTCAACTCATATACCCTGACAACCACCCTTGATTCATCTTGTCTAATCCCAGTCTAGCACAACTTATTGCTTATGACATTCCACACCACTCAACAATGCAAAATCTCATGTCATGGACATGAGCACAGCCTTTCCTAGCCCCTTAAGTATTGACAATTGATGGTCTCAGCCCTCAAATAGAACCTCTTGATAGTGTCATAAGTTTTTCTTTTTGCACTAAATCTATTTTCTCCAATCTTCAATTGACTATTTTGTTTCCCTTCAAAATCCTTTACAATCTTCATCTATTTCAACTTGTCTCAGTCTCAGGCTTATTTGTTCAAGATGCCCTCCTCAATATCCATCATGAAACTCCACCTAGCTCTACTTGTGAAATCCCAGCTCAACCAACTGCACATCTACCACATCAAGGTTCTTGTGTTACACCACTTTGAAGCCAGTCCTCAATCATAATTCCATCTGACTCTCAAAGATCTGTGCAATCTGAGTCTGAAGACTCAGTCCAAATTGTCCAGAAGAACATTCAGAAGGGCAAGTGTTGTCAAATCAAAGCCAAATCTGAAGGAGAGGAAATTCCAGCAGTTTCAAGTGCATCACAACCTTGTGGCCACAAGAAGCAGGCACAATGGTCTATCAGTACTAACTTGAAGCATCTTAAGAAGACCATGGTGACTCTCAAGGATGCCAAACATCAGGAAACGGTATGTACTCCTCTATTCCATACATTTGGTGACTGTCTTAGCTAACAAATCTTGTCCACTGGCTGATTATCATGGTCAAACACGATGCCAAATGCCTCACCAGGCCCTCTGAAGCATAAAAAAATTGAGGTGGACTTGCTGAAAGAATCAGAGGATGAGCACATCAATTTTTGAAAAAACCCAAACACAACAAGATGAACAATCAGTACAACACTAACAAAGTGTATTCTGGGGAGCTTACCAAGGCGCAAGGGATGTAAGTGATGATTACATCCCTGGGTTACTTATTCTCTATTTTTCAAATCTCTTTTCATTCTCTGCTCATGTTTTTTTGCCTATTTTTTTCATTGTTATCTTCTGGAACAAGCCCAACAAAGGATCATGGAAGTCCTTTTACTGCAAGTGGTGTGGCAAGGAAGTTTGTGGTGGTGGCTCTTCACCAACAAATATGCTCACCCATTGTGACAGTTCCAAGCAGCCTGGGAAATCAGGACAACAGAAGAGGAAACTAGCCATTGCTTCTGGATGTGTACTACCTCCAACCGTGTTTGAGAAGCGTGAACAACAACATGAAAAATCAAGAGGCCTCAATCAACAATTACGTTCACAAAGGTGCATATTAATTCTCAAACTCTGTATTGAATCAGATCTTTGGCTTGTGGGTGGTTTGAACGTCTCAGCCCTGGCTATGTATCAAAGATGAGGACCTCTCTGCCTGCTTTCAATAACCAAATCCTGCGGCCCTGCTCTTTGGCTGCACTTGGTTAGCCCACTTTGCTTATCAAGTCTATCTGGGTATGCGTACATTGGTGGGCTTTCCTTGTAGCCTGTTTTTCTGATTGTATTGCACCATTTCTAACTTTGTTTACTTTATTACTTCAAATTTTTCATTTAGGCTAATGAGTCCAAATTTGGACTCATCCTCAATGCATGGACTTTGCCTTGAAACAAGTATGGTTCCATATCTGCCTCTGTCACTTACATAAACAACAACTGGAAGTATGTCACATGTCACCTTGTGATGAAGATGATTGCCTGGCACCACAAATGTGAGTGGTTAGCTGAACCGTTGTTAAATGTGCTTGTTAAGCATAAACTTTATTCAAAGATAAGCCTTTTGTTATACAATTTTTCACTTTTTAGTCTCCACTGATGTGTCCCATTACAAACACATGCTTGCACAGATGCACAATTCAGGTAGCAACAAGAATACCTGTGCCTGTGCCATGCAAGCTTGCCTATCAAAAGTCACATTGGACAACTGTGAAGAATTCAATTTGGAGGAGACTTCTGATCAAGTGTGTTGTACTGGACACATAATTTAGTGGATATTCAACGCAGGACTCCAGACATTGGGAATCAAAGCTCCCCCTCCCCCACCAGTGAAGTCTACCATTCCCGGAAACTTCCCACTTGACAAACATGGATTGACTTCAATTTCTGAAGAAGATGAAGAGGATGAAAGTTCAAAGGATCAAGGAATCATTAAAGATAAGAAAGAAAATTATTCAGACAATGAGATGGAACTTAACATGGGTCATCTGAAGAAGAGCTCCCTCCCATCAATTGTAATGAATCCAATGCAGTAAATATATTGACTTTGATGGTATGTACTCTTTTCTAATAAGATGATCTTCTCTGCTCATTTTAATAAATCTCAATACTTTACAGCTTGAAAAAATTGCTTGCAAAATAGGGGGGTCATAGTAAACAACCTTCAAAAATCAATCAAAACTTGACAAAATCCCTCAAAACCCGTCAAAAACCCTCTGATGCAATCCCATGAGGTAATTATTGTTGTGGTAAAGTACCTGTTGATTTCAAGGACTTCTGGTGTGCATTAGTTCACGCTTGTAGAGCTTACAACATCAAGAACAGTTATATTAAAGAGATGAATTTGAAAGACATTTACCGATCAGGACTAGGAATGAGTGAAGAAGTTTACAAAAGGGCTTTTTCTGCTTTGGGAACAAATTGTGTGTGACTTTTGTTTCTTTTTCATGTTTCCTTTTGATTTTTTTTCCGCTTTACGTAGACTAGTAATAGTATTGTATAAGTAGTACATGCCTGTTTTCACCCAGATTCTTTTCTTCATCAAAAAGAATCTGTAAGTGATTTTTCCTTATACAAACTAGTTGACTCATATCTAACAAACTTTTTCCTTTATTCTTATTCTTTCAGTACATTATATGTTTTACTCATCTTTTCCTATACTTGATTTTTATCTACGCCTGTTGCTTGAGCCCAGGTTTATGTTTCTATCTTTTTATACTATCTCTTTTCTCTTTACTAACTGTTCTGATGTGTTAG